CCCCCCCCCCCCCCCCCCCCCTCTTTAAGCACCATTTGGTATGAGCTTCAAGCTCGGGACTGGCCGATCACCAACCAGCATGTGGAGGCTACCATCTGGCAGGTGGGGAGCGGAGAGGGCATAAAGAAGGTCTTGGCGGAGATCAGTCTGGGCAAGGAGGTCACTGTGAGTTGAATATAGACGCACCGATGTGTCACTCAAGCAGAGCACACACACACACACATGTCAGGATTGTGAAGATGCTGTGAAACTTGTGAGATTGATCCTCACTGATTGACTGCTGACTCAAAGTGGTTTGTCGCCTCAGGAGATCCTCTCCGCCTGCTGGGCGTACGACCTGAGGGAGAGGCCGACCTTCACCCAGCTGGCCGACATGCTGGAGAAGCTGCCCAAACTCAACCGCAGGCTCTCCCACCCCGGACACTTCTGGAAGTCTGCAGAGTAGGTATCCAGAGAGGAAGGACATAGTGGAGACACTGGACGTGTGAACACGAAACCAAAATACAAGAGCGCCGAGTTCTTATTGTGTGTCTTCTGGTTCCTTGTGGTACAGTGGCCTGACTGCAGCCTTCGGGGGCTGCGGTTGGTGTTACATAATCTTCTTAATAAATAGGATTTGAGTATTTCTTAATTTCCGTTCATCTTCACACATTACCCAAATGCGCTCGGTCCCTCTGCACCAAGGCATCGCTCCTCTCAGCTCTGCTGTTGCTTGCTCTCTAATCCAATGTGAACTTTAGTGGTTTATACGTGTAAATGTGAGTTGTAAAGTTTAATTTATTCATTGTCACACAGAGCTCGTTTTTTGACAGCAAAACGTATCGCAGGGCGTGACTTTTGTAATGTCACGAAACAAACCTGTCTGATTGGATCGTTTGTTGTCATGGCAATTTCCAGTTTCCTAAACGAGGCTGGCGGCGCAAGCAAAGACCCGCGAGACAGATCGACAAGGATATAGAATTTTGTGTTTGTGTTCATTTCTGTCCTCGTGTGTGTGCGCGAAACAACGGTGATTGTTCAAGAAGCAGCAGATGGAAGAGGTTAACTGTGTGATCCCTCAGTTAATTCATTCCCTTGTTCTCACTGTGATCAAGCTACAAATATGAGCCTTTTTTTGTGACTTATCTTCTGAAGTTGAGCGCAGCGTGTGAAGCAACCAGATGTATGTGGTGACGCTGTACATTTCTGTACCTGAATGGATTTCATTCTCCTTTTTATTTGTACCCAGACCAGCCTTTTCACTTCCTGCCATCTAACGCTTTCATCGACACGTCTTCATTACAGCTTTCCCCACTTTGTTTTCTGCTTCATAGTTATGATTTGCCTCTGTCATGTTTGCCACAAAGACTACAAGCTACTGGCAGTGAAGAAGGGCTTCACTATCTAATCCCACATAGTTGTTTGGGCTGGATGATGGGAGAGATGCAAGCTTGTTTTCTTTTAATTAAAGGAAGCAAAATGACTTAAAAACCAAATGAAATCTTCTAAACAGTTTTGTTGATTGAACTCACACAGCCTGGCCAGTTTTTATGTCGTGATCATCCTCTCACTAATCTATATGTACTCTACGTGATATCTTGCTGCTTTTCAAATGATGCTTTCTTCACTGTAAAGCTGTTACACTTTCACTAACCGTCTAACGTTTGTGTTTTCCCTTTGCTCTCTTTCCCTCTCTTCTGTTTCTCTCTTCTAAACCTAGGTTGTAGCAGCCGCTCTGAAATCTAAGCAATGCAAAACAAAAGCCTGGGACTGCCTTGCATGCTCTTGTATCCTTAACTCTTATGGGATTGATCAAAGCGTCGCCTCTGCCTGAAACAGACACCGCTTCCACTAATCCCACAGTCTGATCTTCTGTGTCTAACCGTCGCGTTTGTGTTGTCGGGAAGAGAGGATCGGTGGAGCGAGGTGTGACGGCGGGGATGGGGAGGGGAGGGAGGGGCACAGCTGTCGTCCTTCATGCTTTTCCCTCCCTTTCGTCTGACGTCTCTTTGCCTTCCTTTATGGTTTTCGGTTCCACAACGTTGTTTCCGGGACTCCGAGGCTTTGCAAATACCCGGCTCGTGGTGTCTGTGCTGAGGCCGACTGGTGTGCTGTGGTCCGCTCACCTTCTCTGTGCTGCTGTGACGTGGCTGTTTCTCCCCGGGGGGGGTGCATGACCACGGGGCTCTTTTTCTCTCCGAAACACACGCGCACAAAAAAAATTAATGAAAAATACAAAAAACACACACTGCTGGACATAAAATGGACCCCACCACCAAACGGACCGCTTCATTTATCTGTGTTAAAGGGGGGGGGGGGGGGGGGGGGGGCAGGGGGCTGAGTGCCTCTCTGCTTCTCTCTGTTTTTAACGGTTGTGTGATGTGCTGAGATGGTCACCAGCCCATGTCTAGACACCTTATGCACTTTGTCAATGGGAGGATAAAAAAATAATCATGAACTCTTTTTGTTGTTGTTTAGTTTGCTTTTGAATAGTCACATATTTGCAGTGTTTTCTTTCTTCTTTTTTTTTTTTATTTGTTTGTCTTCAGGAGGGTCTCAGAGGCTCGGACGGTGTGATATGTTCGCTTGTTTGTTGTCTATTTGGAGTGTAACCTGCTGAATCCACTGTTTATTGGATGCATTTGAGTGACGGGGCCCTGATGGAGACTTGTGTTGGCTAAACGACGGCTGAACTGAAAAGACACAGGTCAAAATATTCCCTTCATCATTCACAATCCACATGGGAATAGAATAAAGCTGGCTAAATGTCCATCCTTCTGATGTGTAAAGTGCACCTTATAGGAATATGAGTTATTGAGAAAGATACTTCTGTCAAGAAGTTGAGTGATTTTTCATTCTCTGTGCAAAAAAAGAAAAAGTATAAATCAGGAACCTGGTGCAAAAAGTGTCCTATATCTTCCTAAAACATTAACTCTTGTGCGCGCTTGTGTATACTGTTTGTGATTGCTGGCTTCAGTTGGTGTGTGTGTGTGTGTGTGTGTGTGTGTGTGTGTGTGTGTGTGTGTGTGTGTGTGCGTGTGCGCGTGTGTGCGTGCGTCCTGTGCTGGAATACGTAGGGTTGGTTTTTTTTTTCGTGAGAGACTGCGGTAAATGTTGTGTTGCAAATCCAATGGTATGTAATGTACATACATTATTTTATGTATAGCAAATGAACATGGTTCTTCTAATATTTGTACAAACTGTTTTCTATGAAAAATACATCACATTGTTTTGAATAGGTACTGCTATGTCTATTTACAGATGTGTATATATATTTATATTTTTTTCAGGTATAAGATACTGTATAAACGCTGTACAATGTTTTTTTTAGAATGGGCCAATACATGTTTTTTTATGTTGTTGTAAAAATTCATATTTTTGTATTGCATGTGACTACCATTCTGTACACGCTGTTTCTGTTTTCATCCATGAAAGACAATAAAATGAGGCTTGTCATGTAACAATAGAGTGGACATAGTTGTTTTATTGCCTTCCTGGCAGAGTGAGGCTCCAGTATTACTGATCAAATAAGCCAAGTTTTCTACTCTCATATCCAAACAACAGATTCATAACTGCAAGATATTACTTTCCAGTCGTTGGATATGAATATGTGCACAGTGCTTGCTATCCTCGTGGTTACAGCGCAGGCAGCGTACCTGCAACGTCCAGGGTTCGATTACAGCCTTGGGAACTTTCTCTCTCTCTCCTCCGCCGTGTCATCTGTCAAATATAGGTGAAAAAATGCCAAGTATAATTTACAAACCATTTAGAAATATGAGGGAAACAGGCTGCTGGTTGTCTCCCACTCTGGAATGTGTCGGGGGAAGAGCCCACCAAGTGGCTTTCATGTCCATTGAGATGTTTAGCCCCTGGAAACAGTAAAAGTCAAAGGTCAGTAATGAACATTGAAGCTCATTGCAGTAGGCGGTTATGAATAAGCTTGCAGCAGCTGCGTGATGTACCCCAGTTGGCCTCTAGGTGGTATAAAGACCCAACGTAAAGGACCAGTCAGCTTCAGTCTTTGTATTCTGAGCTGGGCTGTTTTTTTTTTTTTTTTAATTACAACTGTGCTTTGGCATGAAGTTTGGTCAGATATATTTGTGGTGTTGCATGCACTGATAAGGTGTGAAAGAGCAATCGTTCTTTTACCTAGAACAGCTGACTCAGTTTAGGTGAAATTGAGCAACTGTGGCCTCAATCTGGAAACCGCTTGAACCTGTGGGTTTGTCAGCTAAAATGTGTGAAGCTGGTTGCATTTAGTAGGACATCTCTGTGTAACAGCAGATCATCTGGTTTCAACACTGACATTACACAGTAGCACGCTCCAAGCCTGGCTCGGATGCTTTATTGATCCACATTCATCCACAGTTGCAATCTATAGCAGAGCAGTATGGACTGTTGGTGTGGGAAATGCTTTCATACGCTTCATAAATAAAATGTCGGCCCCCCCCCCCCCATATATTTGTGCTTTTGCAGCGTTTATGTGATGACTATCACAAAATGTATAATATGAGACCTTGAGAGCTGTCGGTAAAATGATAAATACTGCTCGCATTCAGTCCTTGAAGCCTGTTATCGGTATGGATGCATCTGAAGTGGTGGCTGTGACTAGTGGGAAAGATGGATTGATTTCTGCATACTGGTATCAATCCAACAGAAGAGAAAGGCCCTTGTTTCCCGGCTCACGATGCACTAGCTGCGACCAAAAGCTCTTTGACTCCAACTGGTGCCGGGTCACATGGCCAGCATTTGATGGAAACCGCTTCCTTTTACTGGGAGGCCGGACAAAGAATATTCTTTCCTCCCTGCATGGCAATCAAAGCGAACAACAATTAGCCGTTTGTTTTTGTGGTGTGCCTTCACTGAATTCTGGGAATATTATATAATTTATATATATATTGCAGAACCAATGACTTTCTTTTCCTTCAACAGATAAAATCACTGGGAAGATAATTTATGACATCTCCACTGGGTTGAGATTATGTTCTTTGATCTGCCCCCCCCCCACCCCCACACTGTGCCTCTCTGCTCGTCAGAATCGATGGTGTGCGTGGACCGTCGTAAATTGTTGCAGAAGAGCTGCAGCGCTCGAGACAAGGATATTGGATGCCGGAGTAGTCTTCCGAACACCACGGCGCTCTGCCAACGTCTTGCGCCCGGCGAGTTAGTTCATCAGAACGGGGAATATGGGTGCTATACCTAAGGATAAGACTCCCACAGAGTGTGAGATTGATGGATTCAGATCAGCCAACTTCAGAGAAAAGAGAAAATTCAACGCTTTGAAATGAATCAAATGAATCTACATGTGAGGGCCAGTGATGTCTGTAGAGGGCAATCAGTGGTGCAAAAGCAGGATTTCTTTGAGCTGTTGAAATTGTCTGGACAAGCTGGAGGCCCAGTTTTTTTTTTTAATTAGAGGACCACTCAGGCCAAAAGAGGGATCGGCAAGTTGAGCATCTTCTTAGGGCTCAACACATGCAAAACTCTGCAAAACTTGCGTTCTGAAAGGGATCAATTATGTCGCTGACTTCGATCTGTTCTGGGGATGCGAGCATCTTTTCAGGGCACATGGCCTCCACCCATTGGCCGGGCCTGAGACGATGCAGCCTGACGCACGGCAGCCTCGATGTGAAGAAGACGAAACGTCGCAGCCTCGATGTCGTCGCGTCGACAACCAGCTCATGGATCATCCTGCTGATTCCTTCATTCTGTCCTCACCCACTTTTGGGACTCACTGATAAAAATGGAAGTGCTGGTTAATGGTAACATTAAATTCTCCCAAAAGTCACCGCCTTATTTTATTTAAGCCTATTTTTATCTTATTTTGTGGTTTCGTTTCACTCCTTATAATTTACAATTTATTAGTGTCTTATTTTATTTCCTTCCATTTAAAAAATATATATATTTTCTTAACTTTCCTTTGCTTATATACTGTGATTGCTGTTATTGGCAAGTGGGACTTTCCATCACTCTGGGGAAGATGTGAGGGGCTTTTGAGATGAAGTCATCTGTGTTCCTTTAATTCTCACTTCCTCTCAAACAGCTTAAACAAATTAAATCTGCGTCAAGAGTAGAAGTTGAATTAAAGCTGGGGTAAGCAGTTTACAATTTTAGAGTCTCTCTGCAAAAAGTCCATGTTTACCTTTCAGTGTGTTGTCATTCAAGCGGTCTGAGAGGAAACTAGACTTCTGCACATCCTCATGGCTCTGTTTTCAGGCTTTAGAAAATCTAGCCTATGGATGGAAGACTTTAGCCAGTAGTCGGTCATTTCAGAGAGAAGGCGTTCCTATTTGCTGTTCTAGTGCAGACGCACATGCACGTCCATTCACATGGGGAAAGCCCGAGTCAACAGCGGAATATCATTCAGGAAAAGTAAATATTACTGCATTGGCAACAACTGCCTACACGGCAAAGCAACCTAAAAAAGGAAGATGGAGACAAAATGTCGCTAATAGTTTAGCTTTCTGCTAACCGTAGCCAATGGCTCACTGCTGCAGGTTACTGTATGAAGTAATATGTTTGAAATAATGGACTAGTACTAGTACAGGTTATCGTATGAAGTACTATGTTTGAAATAATGGACTAGTACTAGTACAGGTTATCGTATGAAGTACTATGTTTGAAATAATGGACTAGTACTAGTACAGGTTATCATATGAAGTACTATGTTTGAAATAATGGACTAGTACTAGTACAGGTTACTGTATGAAGAACAATATTTTAAATAAACGACTAGTACAGTTTACTGTATGAAGTACTCCGTTTGAAATGAAGGACTAGTACTCATACAGGTTACCGTATGAAGTACTGTTTAAAATAAATGACTAGTACAGTCATTTACAGCGCTACTTAAGACAGGCTTGCACACTTGTAAAACTGCCTCAGATCTTCTGTCTGAATAACAAGATGCCGACATTATTATTCCATCATCATACATTATTATTATCAAATTCCTTTCAGTTCCATTTGATGTTCATGTTGATACGATTGTCTAAACTGATGTGTGACACGTAGGGGTCTGAAGCTTAATACCTGCAAAACAGATGCTATTGGAGCATGTAGTGAGTTGATGGATGAAATCACTTCGGTAGCTCTTGTCTTGCATGTCACTAGTGTCATGTGCAGGGATGAGGCAACTTGCCAAATCAAGCATTTCTCTGTAAATGTGAAAGTGCAGCTGCACACATTACCACAAATACACAGAGGAAACAAAAAGGGGAACTTAATAAAAAATTTGCAATAAATGCTGATTCATTTATATATATACTGTATATATATATATAGAGAGAGAGAGATTTTTATTTGCACAGTGAACAGATGTTTCACATGGCTCTTCTTACATATCTGCGTCTGACCTCAATGTGCGTGCGTTGTGCTTCAACATTTTCCACTCCATGTGGTATCAAATGACTGAAGTGTAAAAAGGCCTTGTATTATTGGTACAAATGATGATGAAGAACATGGACTACAATTAAAGTCATCTGTGAGCGATTGAGGTTGGGAAGAAAATAAGTAGATGACAATGAAGAAGACAGACGTTCGCACGCGTAGACCTAAAATCTGCTGTGGGCACCAATAAGAACAAGTTATTATAAACAATGCAAGAGACGACATGGCCCGTCAGCATGTCAGCTTCTAAAAAGAGAGACCTACCACAGGCCTGTAAGAGATTTCCATGAATAAAGAGCTTTACCGCTTGTGTTAAAGTCATGCAATTTCTACCTTTGGTGTCGTGCAGATTGTGGGGTTTATTGTGGTGTTGAATGTAGTAGATGTTAGTTTTACTGATGGATTTTTTACATACAATGAATTAGGTCATGATCAATGAGTGAGAACGTTTTTTTTTTTACTGTAGGTGGGCTGCTCAGCGAGCGTTTAGCATGCAACCTTTAATAGTCAGCTACCCGACGGATGTCTGCGTGACCAGCTACTGCACCGAACAGAACACCAAAACCACTTCCTTTTCTTATTATAGTACAAATGGAGAAGTAAGAACAAGACAGCCGAATGAGTGTACCACTGATTTAGATTACCGTCATTCGACATTGCCAGTCGTTCGTTCATCTCACTTCTTCTACTCGCAGCATATTGTGTCCATATTTAGTTATACGAAACCTTATTCTTCTTGGAACTAAATCAAGATCTCCAACAATGTAAGTGATATAAATTAATACATACTTTTACTTTGAAAACCTGTAAACACTATCAGCTTCATTTTTAAACTAGTAAGAACTCTAAGCTGAAGGAAGAAGTGTTAACATCTGTATTTATAGTTGTGCTGTTGCATGGTTCTGACCTAAATCCTCATGATAAAAACTGATATTTTTCAAGACAGCCTTGTGTATTATGTAATGTAAGATAAACCGTTTTAGGGTCATCAACATCTTTTTAGCTGGAGTATACAGCATCATCACCGTAGCTAATAAATACAACGCTACATCAATGCTTAGGGATTATTCCAGTGTTTCTAATGACATATATGTACATTACAATACATTGCGGCTGAATATTTCCTAAACCCTGCTTTAGGTTTTTTTTAAAGGGCAGCCACTGGTCCTGATGTACGCATATTCAGCAATGAAATATTGAGATCCATGGAGCCAATGCTCAGCTCAGTGTTATTTTTGTCCTTTGTGTCCTTTGTGTAGTCCAGTATAATTTTCCATTTGATTGGACTTGATTTTCCAAAGAAAGCATAGCTTGGGACGCAATGCAGTTCAGTGGCAAGTCAGACTTTCAGCACACGGGTCTGTCGGGCCGGAATCGAATAAATCCACGGCTTCTAAATGGTCACTGTGATGGATTAATTTCTAAATCGTTAAAAGTTATTTTCATACTGTATATGATTGTATAAAAGGAAATAATCCATTAAAATACCCAAGATCATAATACAAAAAGATATTATACTCCTGCCTTCAAAATTTCCTTTCAGTAAAAGTACATAAGTATCAGCATATACTTAACGTACCAAAAGTTAAAGTACTCATGATGCAGAATGGCCCGTTTCATACTGCTGCGTGGCTTAATCTACAACCTTGCACCATAAGTTATTAGTCGGTTGTATTTTATGTCAATAATTTGAATCTGCAAAGTATCTAGTTGCTAAAGATGCAATATATTTGTGTTTGAGTGGAAAGTGCAATGTTTGCCTCCAAAATGTATTGAAGTAGGAATATAAAGTAGCAACAAATGGGACAAAAATGTGAGAGCAATACTTGAGTAAATGTGCATAGTTGCTTTCCACCACTGGTGATGTGTAAGAAATAAGCATAAGCACAAAAATATACCTTTGGTTGATTATGGCTGCCCAGCCCCCATAGATTATTTAAGGTGCTGCTGTGTCTGCACTTTCTCCGAATTCTTCTCACTGTATCACATTTGCATTCCAAATCTCCTTTTGAACTAAACTGCCATCCTGTGTCTTCTCAGATACCAACATGAATGGCCTCCTCTTCCTGTTGTGCTGCGTAGAAATCCTGGCTGCGCTATTGTGTGGAGCTGCTGCCAATGTTCTGAGCAGTCAAAATAATGCCACAAGCGCACAGGAAGACCATTCAAATGAAGACTCCCATATTTTCCATGCACCATCCAAAACCAATCCCGCCCTTGATCCCAGCAGCATGTCTGCCACTCTGTCACCTCCAACAGTCTCCCAGACCTCCAAAAGTCACAGCACTTCACGTTCACCTGGCCCACAGCCCACCACCACTTCCACTTCCACCACTATCGATATGTGTTACAGGAAGGAATGTCTTACAGTGTTCCTGGTGGCCGGCGGACTGATCATAGCCTGCACTATCCTGCTGCTTTCTACTCTGTTGCTGATGTGTAAGGTGTGCCAGTTGAGCAACCGCGTCAAGATGCTAAGCGTCAACGGCGACCTGATCAGCACCTCTGAATACTGGATTGGAACCGCCAAGAAGAGCAAAAGCGCGCCGGAGACGGAAGCCAAAGAGACCACCGTGTTAATGACTGACATCATCCTAGGGCAGGAGGACATGGGAAATGGTGCCGCCGAGGAAGAGGCAGTGAAGGTAAAAGAGGACGGACAAACAGGAGAGGAGGACAAGAAGGAGGTGGGAGACACTGCTAAGAGCGAGGAAGCCACTTCTTCCCAGTCCTTCAAAGCCGGAGCAGCCCCCTCCTCTAAGGGCACCGAGGGACCAAAGGAGGAGGTGTAGAGCTGTGCGTGTGTGCCGAAGAATTTCCTGAGCACCTGGCTTAACTTCCCTCTTTACAACCCCTTTATGGTAAATAAAGGACACTTTCTTTTCAGCAGCTTTTGCATTACAGTGAGTTGAACAGCTGCGTGTGCTGCCAAAGCTGTCAAACTGGCCACTGAGGCATTTTTTGGTTAAAAACAATCGGTTGATACTGTATTTCTCTGTTATTTGTGTTTTTTTTAAATATTGAAACATATTATTATTATACAGTTTTGTTCAAGTCAATTTGTGTCTCACACATATTACTTTTTGAGACGTACATGTTTGACATATGATATATGCAACAACCAGAGGAATAAAACACCTGTAACCTCAGTCCTGACTTTATTACTTTGCAGCTATGTGTGTGTGTATGTATGTATGTATGTATGTATGTGTGTGTGTGTGTGTGTGTGTGCGTGTGTGTGTGTGTGTTCTTGTACTTGCTACATAGTGAGGACCGTGTAACCAACAGAATGTGGACATTTTTGGAAGACTTTTTACAGGTCTGTTTGAGGTTTAAGATTTTAGTTTTAGTTTTAAAGTTCAGGTTTGTGTGCGTGCGTGCGTGTGTGAGTGAGAGAGAGAAAAAGAGAGGTCTACTTGATTAGCAGGCAGAGAATGTGCCTCCACCAGGCAGTGCCACTCAACTCAGAGAGAACGCTCTCTTTCACCTCAGCCAGAGCTGACAAAGACAAACAAAAAACCTTTTCAAAACTCCAAACATGCGGTTGTTTCCACAGTCTGGTGCCGATATTTGTTCATCTCCTTCCTTGTGACGTCATGATGAATGTGCACCCTTCATTAAAACTCTTAATAGCTTGTCCCTTCTCAATGCAGCCCCTGCTGCGACGCTTACTGCAAGGAGGTGGAAGCGGTAGCTCTTGGTGATGTCCATGCTCAGAGATGGGATCCAGTAAAGGCCGTCGTCAGGGAAAGGGAATGTCAAAATACTTCCTGATTGTACATCAGCAGTCAAAGGGATTGCGGTAAAACTTAGATTTGAGAGATCTGGATATTATGTGCTTGCACAGCTCACATTGGCAGCTTACAGCATGTCGTGTCTCACAGTGGAAGAGAGGGTTTGACTTTGAGGGTTTGCTGTAAGGGGCAATGACAGTATACTCAATGTCGGTGCATGGCAGCTTCAGGAAATATAGGCAGAAAAGAGAGGAAAGTGCAGAGAGAGGTGTGTGAGGAAGTATCAAACGCACTGCAAAAACAGGTACATGCAGGTATACATATAGTTTACATGACAACTGAACAAAGACTGCGGTCGCATAAATCAGGAATCTACACTGATGCAAAATCTTTTGTTGAATTTGCCACATTTGAAACCCTGATCGCCGTCTGTACCACTGTTGAAATGTCCTTCAGAACCCGATGATGATGTGTGGTAGAAGTACAGCAATGCAGTGCAGCATGGAGAATTGCCTGTATTGCTGATGACAGGTAGGAAGCTGCAGTGGACTGGAGTCCTCTGCAATAAATCTTGACGTTTTTCTTTTTTTTTTTTGTGGCAGCATCTAAATTTACACAGGGAAAATAACAAGCAATTACAGCACTGTGTTGCTTTGTAAAGGGATGCTTTAGAGGGGGGTAGTATTGATCTGGGTGATACCTGATAGCAGTCTAATTCAGTTTGAGTACAAACAGGACCGAAATCAGTCAATTAATCTAACCACAACAATAGCTGTCGCTTTAAATGTAGAAGTAAATCCTGAAAGCTGCCAGGTGAGGGATTGAGGAGTTCTCTTTGCAGCAGCCTTGTGTGCAGGGACCCCTCTGTTATGCGCTCCATTTCTCCTTAGTTACCCCCCTCCTAATACTCCCCACCCCACCAACACCCCACCCCTCCCCTCCCCGCTCACTTCCACTGCACAGAGCAAATCCAAAGCCTGCAGTGCCTGATCGCGCTAACTCAAAGATCCATAAGGGCAATATCAAACTCTCGGCTCTTCGGGGAGGACAAACTGGAACTCAGCGAGGGCAACCTCAAAAAGATCCCGCACTGGACAAGTGAGCAAGGGGTCACATTCTATGAGGGGAATTCAGGCATAGAAGAAGAAGAGAAGAAGAAAAGAAAGAAGAAGAAAAAATAAATCCTCTTCAGCAGAGCAGCAGCTGGTCCCGAGCTTGAAAGCAGGAGAGGGGAGAGCGGCTGGACGGCGGAAAAGGAGCAGAGAAAAGTGACTGGAATGATAAGATGAGAAGGTGAGTTATGGACAAATTTCTTGACTCTTTTCACACACACACACACACACACACACGCACACACACACACACACACGTTCTGCCACACCCTGGCTCACATACAGTACACTGCAGTTTCAGCAATGTAAGAGCTCCTGGCTGTGTCTTTGCCTGCCTTTGCACCAGCTGATGCATGAGTTCTCTGTGGAGTCATTAATACAACCCATCTATTGAGCTAGTTCTCCTCCTCTGGGAGTGTGGGACTGACTGCTCTGACAACCACTGATGACTGAACAGGCAAACGGATGCCAGGGGAAATGACTACAGGGATTTCTCATCCTTTTCGTGAGGAATGATATACTTGACTGGACTAGAAATATCCTCTTGCAGATCAGGTCGAATGTTTATCAGTTATTGAAAAAGGATGCATTTCAGCCTGCTACTGATATATGTGAGAATCTTGTGAGAGTCCTGGTTAGGGGAGTCAGTATGGCATGTAATGTGAATGTGAGCATCTGCAAGCATTGCAGCAATGTGCTTCAAACATTGAGCAGCTTGTGCGTGTACGTACAGTATGCATGTGCCTGCAGAGGTGTGTGTGTGTGTGTGTGTTTCTCTATGGGAATGAAAGAGATTCTGATAGAGGGTGGAGCTTTATAGCAATGATGAAACAAGTATTATTCAGCACAGTGTTTTTCAGTCACTGTGCTTCTTCCTACAGATACATTCCCAGTATTCACCATCCAAACATTGCGCAGGCATCATTTCACAGTGTGCGTCCCGAAGGTAAAAAGGATGCTGTGTGAGACGAACCCTAACATTCTCCTGTCCTGTCTCCCTGTCTCTCTTTCAGCAGGCGTGTGCTGCTGAAGCCGCCCCCACACGAGGCCCTTCTGGAACTCCTGCTCGTGTTGCTGCTGGCGCTGCACGCCCTAGCCGTGTGCCCCTCCATGTGCTCCTGCGGCCACAGCCACAGGGAGGTGGACTGCTCGTGGAGGGGCCTGAGACATCTTCCCGATGGCCTGCAGCACAACACGCGCTCCCTCAACTTGTCCCACAACCGACTTCACGACCTGGACGGACAGCTCACCGCGTACACCCACCTCCGCTTCTTGGATTTGTCTCACAACCGGCTGAGCCGCCTGCCCACCGGCTTGCCTCGTTCCCTCTGGCAGCTGCACGCTGCCTCCAACCGCCTCCAGCTGCTGGACAAGAACGACACGGTCCACCAGTGGAACCTGCGGCTGCTTGACCTCTCGGACAACAAGCTGGAGCGGGCCATCTTCATCAACAACACGCTGATCAACCTGCGCACGCTCAACCTGAGCCACAATCACTTCTGGACTTTGCCCACCAACATGCCTGCGCACCTGGAGAACGTCGACCTGTCCCACAACTTGCTCGTGAAGGTGCTGCCGGGTTCTCTGGACCGGCTCCTCCGACTAACTCACTTCTATCTGCATGCCAACCGCTTTCCCACGCTGCCATTTGGAGTTTTTGACAAGATGAAGTCTCTTAGAGTCGTCACTCTGGGCGACAACCCTTGGGCCTGTCACCTTTATGCCGACATCACCTACTTACTGTCCTGGACGCAGCATACGCCTGCCCGCGTCCTGGGCTGCCCCTGCCACACCCAGCCTGTCTGTGGAGGGGTGCGCCCTGGCAGTACTGGAGGGTGGCACTTTGCCTCCTACAACCTGCCCCCCCTTGCAGCGAGTGCCCAGGACCTGACCTCCATGCCCCCTGAGGCCAGCGTCACCCTGTGGTGGTACTCGTCTGGTTCTTCCCTGCAAAGCACCCCGCACAACCCTAAAGAGGCCTTGACCACGCAGCACCACCCTCTCACAGCCACACCCATCGGCACCTACACCCCGCGACCCAGAAGCGCGGGCACACAGCTAACTATGAATCCCCTCTCTGCATCTGCTGGCCCAGCTGCCGCAGACCACGTGTTCCACACTGATTCCGCTGACTCACGCCACGCCGGCGTTACTGAAACGGCCATCAGGCCTGACATGACGCTGGCCACGGACCAGTTCTTTACAACGGAGAGCCCCTCCATCCAGACGAAGAAGACAACCACTCTTCGCACCAGGAGCGTGAGGAGGAAGAATCAGTCCGTTCCCAGCGGCATCAACAATGGCGGCCCGACACCGGCGACTCGCTCCTCGTACCCTTTCCTCCACAACCTGGGGCTTCTGTCTCTCGTTCTGCAACGAGTCCTCTGAAAGACAAAAAAAAACAGCTGTGAATTATGAGCACAAACAAGACTGCTGACTGTTGTAGTACTTTCATGTTTATATATTACCCACTTTCCAAGCAAAAAGGTCATTTAGAATACAAAGTTTAACAATTCCTGCTATTCTCAGTATGGTATGATGTTGCTTTTATAATAATTGGCCCAACACTTTTTACAAGCCTCCACTCAAATGAAAAAAATAACATTGTAATGAATATAGCTCAGCACATGATGGCACTATACATCCAGGTACCAGTTTCTTATGTAACTGAATGTAGCCTGGTGCTCATGTGCAACTACAGTATAACTATTTCAATGCTATCAAGTACACAATAGGACCTACAAATTATTATTTTTTTCCCTTTTTTTTTGAAATGTTGGCTGTATTTGTGTGAGATGTTGCTTTGGTCATATCTTTTTGAAAGTTATTGCACTGGCTTTAAAAAAGGTATGGCACTCAAAACTTATTTAGACTCTTTTGCCAATTTCAATAGATATCCTTGATGCCTGCTTACTTGTTTCATGTAACAAACCATACCACTCACCAGAGGAGAGATCTTTTCCGGGCACAGGGTGTGTGTATATGTAAGAAACTGGTCATGCCACGCGCATAACAGGGACCAACGGGGGACTCTGTGGGACAAACGAGCAATGTTGCATCACTATCTTTAACAAACTCCGAGTGCCAAGTACCGCGTCTGTATTTCGATCACACCTCAAACTTAAGTGTCCTTCATGATTCAGTGATGCTCGTGAAAATGATCTGCATGGTGATTGAACGCTCCAGGAATGCTAACCTATACTGCAATATTGCCGCAGAGCATTAAAGCACAGACTTTGGAAGAAACACAGTGGAACACACTTCCATTGGGCGATTTCTTTAAATAAAACTGATATCTACTATCTTCTGATGATTGCTTGAATTGTTTAACGCCACCTTTGTCTTCATGCTAAACTGCAAGACAGATGTTTTTAATTTCAAGCTGTGTTCACTGAGAGTGTCTCATGGGAGAGGGCAGACAAACTGCCTGTTTTTCTTTCTTTTCTTTTGTGTTCAATGGCTGCATCTCCCATGGGACTTTGACACAGGTGTCAACCCTCATGGGGGCTGAAGTTGTTCAACGCAATTAAATAGATCAAACGGTTACTTACTCAGATTTGAACAGGCATAGATTTATTTTTAAGTGCATGTATTGAGGGAAGGTTCATTAAGTACAGAGGCACTTATTCCAGATAGACCTTGCTTCACAGCTCAGAACAAACACAGTCTTCTCTGGAGGTCATTGGGCAATCACTCTGTGTCTAAGTTAGTTTCCTAAAAGATCAGTGAACAAAGATCAACCTGCTTTAATGCGAGACCAGCATAGCATGTGATGTATAGCCAGTAGCATAAATCTGAACAAAATTGAAATGAGAATTCATTCCCTTCTTTCTGACACAGAAAACAACTATACAACTGGATACATTGACATCATGGTAAGGTCAGACAGAGTGAACAAAAACAACTGATCATTTTATCTGCACACCACCCTTCCTTCTCAAAACTCAAACACCTGCTGAATAAATTCGGTGTATTTATAGCTGACACACAGAAGCCAAAACAGAAAGGAACTAGTGGTTGGTGTGCTGTGTATTTATGAGCGTGAGTCAGAGCTCAAACATTTATTTTCTCTCCCCGAGTCTCAGTTTCACCTTTAACTTGCATCTTCATTTAATCATTTATTAATTATTAAATGATTATCTTATTGACTTTACTCCAACAAATCAGCCAAATGATTGCTGCCAGAACAAAGCACTATCAAAGGGCCAGTTTTCCTCTCTCGGCCTAGTTTATGGTTCATTATTGCCAACAAACAGATGTTTTTTTTTAGGAAGAAAGGGTTGAGAATCACTAGAAAGTCATTTTGGTTTAAATTGTGTTTTATTGTCAAGCTTGCCATTCGTTTAGTCGCCACACTGCAGCTTTACGTCTCTAATCCTCAACAAACACATGATGTATTTCCTAACTTTAGCTGCAGAACTTTCAAAGTACTTTCAGGTGCCAGCGAGCTGGCCTGCTGGCCAATTATTTTCTCTGTAGACAACACAAAGTAATGTCAGATTTCTCTTCTGGCTCCTATAATAACTGACAAGGTGTAGAGGGCTAGCATCATTTACTGCTGCCATGCCTCCCCTCTTCATCTCTCCACCCGGGCTTGTTTTGAGTGAGCATGCCTTCTTTCTTTCAGCCACACTCAATAAGACTCACCCCCAGTGTGCTGCTTTGTACCTGGCAACCCCACTGACCTCTTGTGTTCTCGTACATTTAAGTCCCCATCAGCTTTATATATATCACAGTGTTCAGATGATGGCAGACAGAAAGGCCTTTAGTGTATTACAGTCTTTATGCAGGCAATCTATGTGAGTGTGCAAAAGGAGTTTATTTCATACGCTTTGCTGGAAAATGTCCCCTTTTTTGTGTTGTTTGAGAGCACTGCTTTACAGAGCTGCATTGCTCACCACCAAGCTATTTGAGTTTGGAATTGAACCTTTTTTTCTATTTTTTTTACACTGTCTACAGAAATAACAGGCAGCCCAGCATCCCTTTACAGTTCCCTTTACAGCAGCCTGTGGAGGTCACACAGAGGCCATAAGAATAGAATAGAAACCCTTTTTATTGTCATATACATGAAATTTGACCTCTGCATTTGACCCATCCCTGTATATAGGGAGCAGTGGTGCCCAGGGAGCCGGGGGTTCAGTGTCTTGCTCAGGGATACTTCGACACGTGGCACATCCCAGTTGAGGATCGAACCATTGACCCTGCAGTTACCAGACAACCCTCTTAAGCCAGTGAGCCACGGTCGCCCCTGTTGGCAGGGAACCTGGGTGTGACTGCAGACTCACCACTCCTGAAAGGAACACAGGAGACGTGTCACTTCAAACCACCTCCATGAACACACACACACACGCACACACACATGCACCAGACGCACTAATGACATCAGCTCCTGTTCTGATTACATGGGCTCTAGGTGCCCTCTTGTGGTGGCGGGACAGAAATGAATGTTTATACCAAAACACTAGAGCAGTTCTTGGAGGGATTGTGTTCCAGGACACAACTTGCCCTTGATAAAGGACCTTTTGATAAAAAAAAAAAAAGAAAATCTGTTTAGAATACACACAAAAGGTGTGTTTTTCTGCCCGGCAACACATGTGAGTTTACTGTAATTCAACGCACCAAACATGCAACTAAGGTGGAGATTTTGAATAAAAACAACAACTGCAGACCGTCACGACAGACCAAAGCTCACACACACGCAGATGCACACTGACATGCCCTGAAAAGGCTACTGCAGCCTGCTTGTTGCTGAAACAATGGCTGCCAATCTCGACCTCCCGAGAGGCATGCGTCACAATATCAATTGTGCCCCAGAATTAGGCCGGTACCCAACCAAAGGACGCTCAGATGTTGCAGATAAAGTTTATCCGATAAACCTAATCTGTATCGACGGCTAGGGTCCATACGCCGAGGCTCTCGCCCGTCTCTTTGAGCCAAGAGCGATGTTTTCCAGTCTGGGCACTGATCAGCCAAAAAGGAGAAACGAGTAGGAATCTGGAAGAAATAACAAGGCGTACTCCAGCAGCCGGAGGACTGATGAGACAGGCAAAAAATTCAAACCCTGCAGCATAGCTGGAGGGGGGGGGGGGGGGCGGGATATGGTATCTCTCGCCCTCGTCTCACTGGCACAGACAAGGCAAGGTCAGTGTTAAGGTCGGTGGTTGCAGAAAAGGAAGTGGTTGGCAACTGGGAGAATAAATGGTGGCAGCCAGTTAGGGGGAAAGTAAATAAGGTAAAAAGGGAAAGGAGAGAGCCGGAGGACAGAAAGCCCCACTTAGCCGGTGTGTCCAGCGAGGCCTGCTTTATTGTGCCGTTCTAAGCCTCCGGAAGATTTTAAAAGAAATGTCTGAGGCGTAGCATATGCACTCATATAAACAAACTCCGAGAGAGAGAGAGAGAGAGAGTGAAACTGGGTACAGGATAGTTCTTCGGGCTAGAAATCTGCCGGCTTCTTGTGCGTCAGTTTGTCCGTCGAGCAACAACAAATGCAGCTGTGCTGTGCATGAGTGTGCCTCAACCCTCAACACTGTTGAGCATGTCCTGTGAATTTGCATGATAAACCAGAGAGCATTTTGCACAGCTGTCCTGAGGAGGATTTCAACAAAATGTACTTTGACAGAGAATAGGGGGGGGGGGGATTTGGGGAGCTCAAAATCATGCTCAATTTAAAATCCCCAAAAAGATTGATATAACTTACATGACTGGGTCTCTGCGTGGGGAGGGGTCCGTCGCTCCCTCTGCCTCAAACAAAGCTCTCCAAAAGGCCAACGTGCACATCTTCCTCCGCACTGCTGACTGTACAGGTGATGGGACGGCTCCTTTCGGTGCTTTAATGCCACTCGTCATCATCTGCAACACACGGCTCTCTCTGGAGTCGTTCAAAAAAAAGGCAGCCAGAACATTCCAGGGAGCAGCGGGGGCATGAGCTTATCTCCCAGCCCAGTGGAGCAGGTAAATGATGTCGTCATCACCCACTTGTGCTCGAGCCCGATTGGTCTAAAGAGCCCCACATGCAAATTATCTTTTAATAGCGAGGTTGGAAAAAAAAATGGAGACTTGCTCGGCCTTTATTGTCACAACAGAAGTGTGTGTATTTGGAGGGATTCTGCAGAACTGTTCCGATCTGCGATTCTCTGCTGTGCTGCGAGCTGTTTAGTGGAACCTTGAGGTGCCTTTGGGCACTTGGTGCAAGGGAATACAGCATTTTTCAACGTTTACAAGGGTAGTTTGCAGGCTTTGAGGAGCCTTATGCCTTTCAGATTATTCGACGTCCATATTACAGTTTAGTTCTTTTTAATAATGTGGACGTCTGAATATCACGGTGGCCCATCTACCTGGAATATTAGTGCGTAGCCTCTGGCAGAGCTTAATTAACTCATCTGCGCAGTTACAGAGGGCATAATGGGGGAGAGAAATCACTCATCACCAGAACATCCGTCCCCACTGATCTGACTTCAAACAGTTTCTCTGTGTGCTAACAATCGCACACGGTCCCAGTGATCCTCACATATCAGGATCAGTCGACGACGTTTTCACACAACCACCCATTGGAAACGTACAAATCCATGATGAGAGGAGGAAATCTGTCATTCCTTAAAGTCATCAGTTTGCTATCAGATGTGGCCGAAATGTACCCCCAGAAGATGCTAAGCTACCCGAGGCGAGATGAAAGAGCAGGTCGCCTGCAGTTTGGCGGATGGCTAATTCCTGAAATAGGACTGTCAATTATGCATGTCTCGGTCTGGCTCCCTCCCTGCAGTCTGAGAGGCGCTTTAACTCATGCAGCAACCAAGAAGCAGGGAGGAGAGGACACTAGAGGGAGACAATTTGTTCACATCTGCAGCCTTCTCAGCCGTTTTTTCCTCTGGATTCTGAATTCCACTGTAATAGGCCCTCCAGAGGTCCACAGAGATCAATACCAAATCATTCACAAGATCCGAAGGATCAAATTAACAACGTCTCAAGAGTGTTTGAATAATATCCCCAAAAAATTCATGGAAGCGATGGAAGGTGTTTTGTCTGAGCTATCTTTTAGTGTTGGATTAATGCGTATTGGATTCCTTTGCGTGCTCAAAACACACGGTGAGCCTCTGAGAGAGGCATGCAAATGATGTATCACAACGTGAAAACCGCCGAACACTTCAATTTTCACCATTATCACCACGTGTTTTTGTGCCTCCAGACATTCAAAGGTTAATATATTTTGTGATTCACCAACAGATTACATGTAGGAATCCGTGTGGAGGAAAGGGGTTATGCATGATCCAGGGACAATTTCTCCAAGGTCAAGTGAGGATTCTGAGGGTGTAAAATGATTACTGCAACAGGAAACAGGATGCCTCTTCTCAAAACAGCATCTCATAACACTGTCAGCGAGTCTATTGCTTCTCTCACTTTCTTTTCCCCCGTACAGCTCTTTCACACACTATCAATTTTACTTCTCTCTCCATCCTCAAATCCCCCAGTCTTCATGCAAAGGCTCGGTTAGTTACAAGCTTCTTCTTCTTCTTTTCTTTTCTTTTCTTTTTTTTTTTTTTGCATGCTGAGTTTCCTCTCCATTGAGAAGCGGTTCATCTTTCAGCACTGAATGCAAAGCCCCAATTGCACTGATGCAAACTATGTGATTCCAGAAATCGTTGCATTGTCCTTGATTCGAAAGCGAAGGGTGAATTATCATTCAACACACAGATGAGTTCAAAGCATGCAGGAAATAAAAATAAAAAAGGTGTGTATTTCTTCTTATTCTTCACCCCCCTCGTTAATCAGAACGTCTTCAACAGCTGCCCCCTTTATAAAGGCTTCCAAGCCACGGTGTTCGATGTTCGGTTTCAAGGAAATCTGTTTTGTTCATAAAAAAATACACGTCCCTCTCTTTCCTGCTCGCTCGATACTAAACGCTCAGCTGCTCTGAAAGCATAGCTGTCAGAGAGCCTAAACTTGCTTAAAGAAGGATAAACATTTTGGGCACTTTCATCAGGCAGTGGTGGCTGCTCAGATTAAAGGAGAACACCGTTTTATTTAGAAATCTATACATTTTTCTCCTTCAATCAGTGTAAAAAAAAATAGGATCTGGCAACCCCAGTGGTGAACCAAAGTGTGATCCATCAGATATGAGAGGTTTGTTGTTGAAATATAATAGATTTGAAATATAATAGGGCGTCTGCTTTGGCATCGTGCTGTTTTTGGGGTTCAAACCTGGCTCACAAGCCGTGATCGGATGTTATAAAAAAACGTCATGCCTGATGTTACTTCTCCATCACGTTTGACTTTGCACTCTTCATGGTGCAACGGTGAACACAAAGGCCATGAGAACAGTGTTCAAACGGCAGAATAATTCACAACCGCACTGTGAAACCGGAGACCCCAGTGTTTTTATTTGAGCAGAGAACAAGTTGCTCTTCATGTGTTAAATCAACTGTGATTTTTTTTGCACACCTTGTGATCGCTTTAAAGCCTGTTGTTCCTCAGAACTGATATTCCGCATCAATTCATAACCTCCCTCACTCCTCCTCTCTCTCTCTCTCTCTCTCTCTCTCTCTCTCTCTCTCTCTCTCTCTGCAGCTGCATGAGTGAATGCAATTTTTTTGTTTTTATCCACCGTCACATTTCAGGCATATGCTGTGGGGTACTGTCACACATTTGACAATTTATAGAACATGCAACAGTAATATAATCTTGAATGTATCACCAAATGGCATGGGACAGAAAAATAGAAGTTAAAGTAAGGTGTCATATTCTCATTTTCTTTGACACTCCTGTGCCACAAGGAGTTGCCACCATTTGCCTCCATACATTCATTTCAGAGATACAGACATCCGCAATGTTGGGTGTCCCCAAACTAATGACAGAGTTTTAGCTGTTAAACTGTCAAACGTCTTGTTATTTGGGTTTTTATCTAAGTCATTGTTTCAAAAACATGCTGCCTGGCCAGATAAGAAATTCCCTCTGGTAGTGCCCTGAACAGTCAGCACAGACGGGCCTATTCAACAAAAAAAAAAAAAACTTCACTGAATGTGAGTAATGAAATAGGATCACTAGTCACGTTCCGCGCAGAGCTCGGGATGTTTTGTTGTAATTATTCTCGTGCTACGATGAATGGAAACTGCATTTCTAGAGAATGTATTGTCTTATTGTCTGTCGAGTTCTGTGAGCAGCAATGTGGCGCGGATGCAAACAAATGTATAATACATAATTTAAAGCATAATTTGTACATGAGATTTCCTTTTCTTGTGTTCTATTGATAGCACGCTGTGCAAAAAATATGCACCGAAAACATGTTTTTTCACACCACAAATGTCCACGTTCTTTTATATGTTCATTTCTTCGTCTTCTTCTTCTTCTTCTTCTTCTTCAGGGTCATGAGGGGGCAGAGGCAGTTTATCTCCACATGCCAGCCCTGCCCCCCCCCCCAGCAGCTCATTACAGGTCATCTACATGAACAGATTCATAATCCCCTCACTGCACGTATGGATGCCATACTTTTTTGATACCTGCAGGATATTCTTTGTTGGCTTTCACAATGGCTCGGGAGACTTTCTCTAATAATCAGCCCACCTTAACGCCTAAAGTTGGGCACCTTTTCATTCATTTCAAAATCTGGTATTCTGCATATTCTGAGGTGTAACTTAAAAATATTCATAAAGACACGTTATTTAATATTTACACTATAACATTGCGTTGTTGGTGCTATAGCATTTATGTATTGATCGTTTTTAAGGCTGGAAGCCATATTAAATGTACACCAAGAGTAGTAAGAATTTAAATGCACATACTAAAAATCATATGAAAAAAAACATGTCTTATAAGCCTATCACTGCAAAAATATTGTTAGCCACCATTTAAAAATCAAACAAGTATATAAAGTACAGTATTTCATTTCAAATATTCAATAATTGTAAAACACTTGTGAGCCATAACAATCAGGATAATCTCAATATTAACATGCATGAGGAACATCCCCATTTCGTGGTTGTTTCTGAGGGACTATATTGTATGGCGGAAGAATAACAAGTTAATGTAATTAGTAGAAAGGTAATCGCGTTGCTGCTTTGTAAAGGTGTACCTGTCAGCTGGGTAATATTAAGTCAACATTGCTAATTAAGAAGACCATTTCTTGGACAAAGAATTTTTTATTTCTTTATTTTTTTTAAATGCTATGTGTCCACTGATTTAGAAGAGCAATAAGCCACTTTCACCTTCAGTGGCTTAGTGCTTAATTAAATGACAAATCGGAGGATTGGTTTGCAGATTGCCTGAATTGACGTCAATTGGATTGGTTAGGTGACAGAGGCAGGCTCCGCCCCCCTGTGGGCCAAGGTAGAGCGTGCGGAGAGAGAGGGAGGAGGGAGCAAGGGGGCTGAGCTGATCCCACGTGTGACGCTTTCATTCCCGGCTCAGTAATATTCTCATAGCGGGGCTTTGCATATCTCCTGCCCGTATCTGTGTGTGTGTCTGTCACTGTTACTGTAGTCACAGCCTATAGTTTGAAATAGATATGGAAGGAGACGGGAGTCAAGCCACATCCGGAAGCCTAAATGATTCACAACATGACCCGGGGTAAGGATCTTTCTAAATGTATTCCTAAAGGTACTCTGCTTTTTGCTTTCATGTTAACATCTTAGAGAGGACTTCGACTGCCGTGTGCTGGATTCGTCCCCCTCTACAGTACGCACTTAAACCGTGCACGGGTCCGTTTCCACATTCAGTTGAAAGCCCCCTCAGCTTTGTAGCGAGAGTGGCCTGCCCCCCCCACCTTTTTTTATGTCGCTAGACCATAAATACTAAGCGCGAATGTGTTTCCATAGTCTTCCTTTATCCTTTAAGGTCGCTTTTAGAAGTAGTTAGTCGTCAAAATGGCCGAACTGACATCTGGACTCACTTCTGTTGTGTTTTCCCCTTACAGTAAAATGTTTATCGGTGGCCTCAGCTGGCAAACCTCACCAGGTGAGAGACTGTTATTCTCTTTTTACACCGTGTCCCGGTATTTTCTTGTTGTTTTTTCTTCTTCTTTTTTTCCTCTTCTTGTCGCTGTGACTGAGTGCTCGTTGTAGCGGCTGTGGCGGGTGTATGTGCGAATGGGCACCGTGCAGCAGTGCACTGTATGGGATGTCTCACTAGTGTGTGTGTGTGCACGATGTTATTTTTGATCTCCGTCCATCTGAAGTCCTCTATTCGACCCCTATGCGCATCGCGGGGTGTTTTTGTGTGTGTGTGTGTGTGTGTGTGTGTGGTTGAAATGCAGTGACAACAGCATGCCCATATGTTTTCTGTCAAATGACCCGACATATTTTTTTTTCTCTATTCACAGACAGCCTTAGAGACTATTTTAGTAAATTCGGAGAAATAAGAGAATGTATGGTGATGAGAGACCCCACGACAAAACGCTCAAGGTAAATACCGGGCTCTTCCTACTTTTTTCAACCCCCCTCCTCTCCTCTCCTCTCCAGTGCATGTGACGATATCGCTCACTTTGTCCGTGTTTCGTGTTAATCCAGCGTGCATATGTGTGTGTGTTTTTCCCGTGTCCGCGCGCGCACGTGTTCGCGCGTGTGTGTGTGTGCGCGCGCGCGCGCGTGCCTGCGTGTGGTTTCACAGCAAGCCAGATAAGCTTAAATGCTCGCTGCTGTAAAGCTGCAGCCGAATGCAATTTGACATTGACTTTGTGACTGCACCGCAATGTTGGTGTGCTGTCGTCTCCCATTGTAACACACCAAATAATGATCAGCAGCCTGCTCAGTTTCTGTTCCAAATCTGCCACAGGACCTCCATCAGTTTATTTTTGTTGGATTGTTTATTATTATTATTATTATTATTATTATTATTGTAAAAATAATAAGGTCATAGGAATATTATGCCCATTGTTGTGCAGTTTCATCATGGCAAGCCACGCTATAGTTTCGCTATGTTTAGTATTTGCATGAAACAACATGTATTGCAATTATGTGTGTGTGTGTGTGTGTGTGTGTGTGTGTGTGCGCATTTCTAACATTGTTGTTCTCGTTTCTTTGTGTTTCTTTGTTTTGCAGAGGATTTGGGTTTGTTACGTTTACAGATGCTGCCAGTGTAGATAAAGTCTTAGCTCAACAACACCACGAATTAGACTCAAAGACGGTGAGTTAATTTTACCTCCCACTTACGTAAGTGTGTTTGTGTTTGTGCCTTTGCCATCACACTGTGTGACTTTTTTTGCTGCCTGCGAGGCCTTTTGTGGTTGAACACCTCTTAAGTTAACAGGCGGTGTGGATCAAGGTCACGCATATATGGGCTAAACGGCGGCCCCTTCAACACTTAAAGCTGAGCAATAAAAACACAACTCCGGGGTGAATAATATGTGTGTTCACTTTCACTTCTCTGGCTGAATGGGGCTGACAGGCCCCCCCCCCCCCCCCCACCCCCCCCCCCCCCCCCCCCCCATTCCCTGTTCGCCGCAGCCACACACATATCTCATGTTCCACTGAAGGGCGTGCTGTCTCAGGCCCTGCTGCCACCGCTTGTGTTTGACCCAGCAGATATTGCGTCGTATCACACCTGATGCGCTGATACCGTAAGTGTGGGAAACCAGCACTTACCCCATTAAATAGTGCCACGACATCTTTAAAAAAAAAAAAAGCTCAACTAAAAGCAGAATTAAACAACTTTGTGAACAAGCATGTTATTCAAAATAATTGGTGACTGCATTGTAAAATAATTCTACGTGTGGCAGTGTAACGCCAATCCACGACCGTGGTAAATGTGTGTTTAGCTCAGAAAGAATGGTCTGACTTTATTCGCGTGGACAAGCCAATTGATCCACAGACCTTTCCACGTGTGTCCCATGAAGAACTCTGAACCACTGTGGGTTCTACTTGCCCTTTTTGAAATTTGTCAGTAGATGAATAATTAAAGATGCTACTCACTTTCTCTTTGAGAGATGTCTGTAGTGATGGATTAGACAGGGTTCAGCTGAGATTGCATTTGTCAGGGATTTCTGCTCGGTAATATCCAGATATGGCCGCGTGGTTTTGAAAATGGAATCGTACTGTTGTGCTACCTTCGGCTGAAGGCAACTCCGGATGGAGGAATATTTATTTATTTCAGGATTTCCAAAGACAAAGGGATTGTAGTCAAAGGGCACTCTGGAACCTGTGTAGGATATGGCAAAGGGATTTGTTGTCCATTTTAATCACATTCTTGAGCTCAGGTGTGATTGGTCCAGAGCTAAAAAAGGCTATTTTGTTGGACAGTGGATCTTATTTTATTTTCCCAGTGATTCGGCTCCTCTTTTATTATTATTATTATTATTATTATTATTATTATTATTATTATTATTATTATTAGGGAGCTGTGAGGTTTTTTTTTGGCCAGTTTCCACAACCGCTCAGTGGTGGCGTATGTGATTAGTATTTCTACTAGTCTTAAAATGAGTTATTTAGCATCGCAAACACGCATGTCAGAACACATTAAGGGGCACAGAGATGGGCATTACTAGTTTCCTCTTCCCCCATCTGATCCGATCCTTCCTGTTATGTTATTTTCAGTCTCGGGGGGGGTGGTGGTGGTGTGTGTGTGTGTGTATGTTATATCTATAAGGGTGACAAAGACACGCGGCGGGTCGGTGAATAGAGGAGACGAGGTTGTTGGCGGTGAAAGGACCAATAAATACGCGGCTGCAAACGGCGAGTACGTAGGAGCGGGTTATGACGCAAAACGTGCTTTCGATGCAGAATACGGAGCAGTTTGGTAAACTTCAAGGTTGACATTTGAAATGAACTTGACTTTTGCGAAATGTGTCGCTAATAAAAATACACTTGCACCTGGGAGTTGTCCCTGTGCAGCTGGTTCGGTGCCTTACCCCGAAGGCACGTTGAGAGCAGTGGCAGCAGTAACTGGTTAAACTCCCCGAGCATTCGAAAATGATTCCCTTAAGATCTTCGTTGGACTTAACTTGATGACCTCATGCTCATAGCCACTGCCACATCGATGTTGCAACTGAATTATTGATTGCAAAATAGTTTTTTTTTTTTTTTCACCCGTAAGATAAAGGACGTTCTCGTGGGTAAAGTTGGCAAACTTTCACCGGCAGCTCCTACATATTATCCTTATCAAAATGTAGAATATTCTAAATCTTATGCATTTGTGCCGGAGCTAAAACACAGTTGTTTTTTTTCTCTTCGTGTTACATCCATAGAAAGATACAGAACGGTTTGCAGCTACAGATGCATACGTAAACAATCGCATCGTAGGCTGTAAGGTCGTATTTGGCAGACTTGTGTCGCACTCTTCGGCTCTGACAGATCCTCACCCTGAGAAGTGAGCGCTGACATTTGAAAGTCTCTCCAAATTGTGGCCTTAGTGCACAGGCGTAGCAAAGTCCTCCACACTTGTTGCACATCTGTCCTCGTCTAATTGGCAAGTCACTCGAGGCTTGGCGGTACCTTTTCCCTTTTTCATAATATTTATCGTTACCTCTGTCAGGTAGTATCCTTCCTTGAAAAAAACAATCTGTATGTTGTGGAAGGGGATTTTCATTCCAAACTAGTTGAGGTATTTTTGGGGGCTTTTTATTTATTTTTTTGTAGCCTTTTGTTAGATGGCAGACAGGAAATGAAGGGCGAGAGAGGTCTGGCCGGACTCCATCATTGGGGAGTCGTGTTAACATGGATGCCTCGAATACATACGTTTTAATGACTATTAGCATCATCATATTGGACGTTGACTATTACACAGTCTGTATTCATAAAGATGTGGAGCCAAGTAAGATATGCAATCCTGGCTGATGTTAATGAAACAATTTCTTTTAATATGATTCATTTGCTCTGTTGCCAGGCGGTTTTGTCTCCATACCCCCAAACCTGAAATATATTAACAATACTATAATACTCCTGTTATTATAACCAATGGCTTCGTCATAATAAACAGCAAAGTGAAGCTTTTTTTTTTTTGCTTGACATTCTTATAATCGGATGAGTGTTTGACAGTCTAATTGAAATACCAAAGATCCTGGCTCAAATAGATGCAGAAATTGATATTTCCTAGCTGCTAATGTGCTGTTGTTTATCCGTTCGGGGTGCGATAGAAGATTACAGACCTAAGGCAGCCGTCTGTGTCGTTCTCCTCACTATTAGTCACTGGGCTGTATCCGCCGCAGCGTCGTATACATCTTACCGCTCGCACTATCAAGATGGCACCGCATTAGGATCTGTCATATCTCTTTTATTTTTATAAAGTTGCTCAGCGCGAGTGAAAAGGACCGGCACCCGGTCCGGCGGATGCGGCCGGTTCTTGATGCGCTTGCACATGTTGGTTCGATACGAGCCGCCCACTTTCAGCAGTGCTTGAATGAATCCTCACCAGCAGTTTTTTGTCCTCGGTAACCTTGAAGGGCGCGAGTGGCTGGAGGTGCTGCGACTGTGAACAAGTTGAGTCATAGGATTCGCACAAGGGGAAAGTGGAAATCATATCTAATTTCCATTTTTGTTTCCTTGTTTGTTCGTCTCTTATCTATTTTTTAAATATAGATGCCTGAATTAAACTAACGTGGCTGACCGACAAACACGCACGAAATAGTCATTATCATGAAGTAATATTCGTTAAAAAGCAAACACAAAAAGAGGCATTTCTTGCTTCGATTACATTGATATTCTCATTATTTTAGCCCAACTTCTCCCTGAAAGAGCTATAGAATCAAACGTAGCATCCACAAAAATGCCAGGATGTGAAATTACGTGCACACAGTCAAAGCCTTCCTCTTATTCTTTATTTGTATTTTCTTTTTATTTATTTATATTTTTCCAAGCGTGCGCTCAGCCTTTTGTCCGGTTATGAAAACACCCAGACCGGGATGAATGTGAATGAGACATATGGGGAAGCGCAGCCTGGGGCTTCAAAACACACATGCTGGTAATTCAGAACATATTTACCATTTTTCATGATGCTTTTGTTCAGTTTTTGGGAAATATGCGAGCCGCAGCATCTGTTCCCGAAGACTCTTCGAGAGGCAGGTCGGCATGAACAAGGGGAGATCACATGGAACACGATTTAGCATTTGAGAAGTAACAGTTGAGAGCTCAACAAGGCAGCAGAGTGATTCCAGGTTGGCTTTTTTTTGTATTGTTTTATGTAAAGCGGTTATATGGGAAAAGAAAAATCAGTAAAAATTCTTCAGGGACCTACTAAAGGTTATGTTTGAATGCAAAATGTGAATTTATCACTCGTGATACCGTTCATTTTACTTTAAACAGCAAAGACTTCAATCTAACTTACTGCAACCTGTAAAACCCACAAACATCTATGAATGTTCCATGTTGCTGAATGAGCCCAGGTCAATGCACACTATGCAAGAGGAAAGCAGTAGAATAAGGCATGGATAAACAGCTGTTTTTGGGCAGATCTAAATCGTATCGGGTGGGATTTTGGAAGCGAGCTAAACTCCGACTTGCCCTTGTTTAAGGTTAGCAGGTGCTCTGTCTCCTGCAGTTAATTATGGCTGAAGGCGTTATTAGTTCACGCTGTATCTGTCTCCTGTCGGTACGCGCAGAACATCAGATGTTTGTCAGGGCGGTAATGTAATATCTTGTGTAACACCAGCCGAATCTGGATCACACTCATAATGGTGTTGCATATTTTCTTCAGTAAAATGAAAAGAAAAAAAAAGATTTCCTCGTGTCTGGCGAGCTTTGGAAACATTCTCATTATCGGTTCGACGAGCGTAACAAACTGCCTTGTCTGCGTGGCGTTATCCCGCCACAAAAAAATATCCCCAAACAAAAATCGGTAAAGATCGACAGCACAGATAGGAAACATTTACGTTTTAATTTCTTGTCTATTCCGTCTATTTGGTATCGCGCAGGCACACCTGTGGACCTGCTCTCGCTCTTAAGGTTGGGGGGGGGGGGGGGGGGGCTGCAATCTTTGATAAGACTTTTTTTCCTCCCTTTTAGCTTAACCATCGTGCTACTGTAGATATGTCTTAAGAGAGAGGAGGAGAGTTTACCCAGGAGCCACATTAATATGTGAAATCCTTTTTTTTTTTTTTTAAATATATATATATATAAGATGTGAACTTAAGATAGAGGCTGTTTCTCAGCCCTGATCTCCCACAGTTGCATGCAGAAGCGGCCCACAGAGACTCT